GAACCCAGAAATCGTGTCGGACAGTGTTATAGAAGAAAATAATACGTACGTTTAGTTAGCAATATTGAAGAATACTTTCCGCGTAGAAAAATTTCTTTCTTTCATTAATTGTATGTATCCACTAAAAACGATATTTTTACTAGTTTGGAAAATAAGAAAATATGAATAACAGTACAGCTAGCCAGAAACGGTGCACTGATCACAAACGGGCAACTACTCCACCGCGCAACGCGTAATATTCCTGACTGCAAGTTAGTTTCTAACGTTATAAATTTGCATAAAAATGCCCAGTTTGTTTAGCATAGGTTTCACCGCACAGCCTGAGAGACACATTTGTGTTTCTTGAGACTTCTGTTCGGTGACTTCCGTTCGACGTACAGCGACGGCCAGTCCAGTATCGTCGATTTTTCCCGCCGCCCGAGAAATCCCCGTGAAAACAAACGTTTCGACTGAAAACGTTTTTCTTTCTGGTATTTTCTAGTGCGTTGAACGCGCACATACGTCCCCATAACTCTTGTCGGGTAACATGAGAAACGAGTCGACCGCCTCGGGTCCGCTTTTCGTAAGCGGCTTACTTGCGCGACGGAAAATTGTACTACGCTGCACTCTTCCTCTCCCACCTCCACCTCCGCCGACTATTCCTCTGACTCCTCCCCCGCCTCAGTACTCTTCAGCTTTTCTTTTTCTTTGCCTTAACTGTCTCTGGCTCGTACATAAAAGTGCATACTTATTCATGGCCGTGTGTACGTGCACCGGCTCGTCCTGGTATTTTTTTCCCGCGGACTTTTCACGGCGAGACGTGCAGGAGGGAGCGCAGTTTTTCACCGGTTAATGTACGATATCAGCTGGAATTATATGCTTCGCGAACTCGCGATAGGATTTCGTGCGCGATAAATACTCCGTCCCACGGATATTTCAGAAACGTGGCAGCCACGCTCGGTCTCAGATAACCGGGGATTTGCAGTTTTCGATACGGAACTTTCATCTCGCAAGCTATTCAATGCAGAATTTCAGAAAGAAGTTCTCGCTCGGACGTTTCGCGGTAATTGGTTCGCTGGTTTCGACGTATTATGCTTGTACTCGAAAACTGTTATGATGTAGGTTTAAGTATTTGATGCAGTTATGGACAACTTTTCTTCTGAATAACTGTCATGAACAGCCTAAAAGTCGTATATAAATAAAATCAATATAAAAGTTATATTGGTTATATATCGTGTGCCACGGTGCTGTGGATATAATTATAGACTCAAAGAAACTTTCATGTTTTTAGCGATATTTAAAAACAAAATCTTGACGAAACATCATATTTGTATATTTCTATATCAGAAATAATAGAAAATAGAAATATATAATACAAATATAGATTTCTTTTGGTTTTTAGTTAAATATCAGTAAAAATGTAAAAGTTCCTTTATGTTTGTGATTATTAATTATTCACAGCACCGTAGGTGGCCTCCTTTAACTGAGCCAGTCTGAATATTGAAAAAAAGAACTTAACAATACATCATATTTGTATATTTCTATATCAGAAATAATAGAAAATAGAAACATACAAATATAGATTTCTTTTAGTTTTTAGTTAAATATCAGTAAAAATGCAAACGTTCCTTTATGTTTGTGATTATTAATTATAAACAGCACCGTAGGTGGCCTCCTTTAACTGAGCCAGTCTGAATATTGAAAAAAAGAACTTAACAATACATCATATTTGTATATTTCTATATCAGAAATAATAGAAAATAGAAACATACAAATATAGATTTCTTTTAGTTTTTAGTTAAATATCAGTAAAAATGCAAACGTTCCTTTATGTTTGTGATTATTAATTATAAACAGCACCGTAGGTGGCCTCCTTTAACTGAGCCAGTCTGAATATTGAAAAAAAGAACTTAACAATACATCATATTTGTATATTTCTATATCAGAAATAATAGAAAATAGAAACATTCAAATATAGATTTCTTTTGGCTTTTAGTTAAATATCAGTAAATATGTAAAAGTTCCTTTGTGTGTCTGTAATTATTCACAGCACTGTAGGTTACCCTTTTTAGCTGAGCCAGTCTGTACATCGAAAAAGAACTTATTTACAAGTTATATTTTGTATATTTCTATATTAGAAAATAGAAATATGCAAATGTGATATTTTGTCCGATTTTTAGATTCTACACGATAGTTGTTCAAAATAAAACTCTTGCTAATCGTTTTGTCAGAACCTTTATATTACAACCCGAAACAGCTATTTTCGGAACCTTTTCATGCCCCCGTTTTTACAGTTTTGGTTACGCACGATTGGACGTTGTCACCGGCAAATTAACATCGACGTTACCCAGAAAAAAAGCGAGTCCGAGCAAAGCTTTACATGGACTACGGTATTTTTAATTTGAGCAGCTCGAAGATGTTATGCGAGGACATGAGATATAGACACAGTCATATAAAAAAAAAAAAAAAATGTACAAAAGATACGCCAGAATATATTTTAGATTTAATCGTTGAAGAGAAGAAAGAAGTTAAAGGGGAGGAGTAACAGGATCGATATTCTAATCGCTTCGAGCCGCTCGTAAAGGTTTCCGCTTTCGTTAGCAAACAATTGTAATAATTGGTAAATGTAAATATATTTGTTTAACGGGCCGAGCCCTTTTGAATATACAAATATGTATACAAGCAAACCAGATAACAAATACTACAATAACGAGATTATATAATAACGAAAATATTGATTAAATCCTCGTTAAAGCTACCCAAAGTTCTTAAGTTAACTCGAGAAGGGCTGAAGGCGCCAAGAAATTTAATATGTTGCAAAATTGATTTACATTAGCGACGATCTTATCGATGTAATACAATTTATCCTTGTAGACTACAGTTATACACAAATACTATAGTTTTACAATCAACAGTGGTTGCTACAGCGTTTTTGATTTGCGAATGAAATATGAAATTTTTCGAGTTGACACTCAAGAGGGTGGGGGGAGGGGGCAATGTTGAACTTTCGTCGAGGTACAAATGTGCAACGATTTTCTACACAAAAACGATGCGATTCAACGTACTCGTTTAGCTAGATGATCTGCAAAGTGTAGAATATCATACGAACATGTCGTCGTATTTATTTTCTTAATCGCATCAATAATATCCAACGATGTACATACTGCTAGTATGGCGAAGCTTAACACTTCGTTCTCGTCATTTTAGTCAATTACACTGGTAAAAACGATTTTTGTTACAGAGGATACTTACACTGATTCTAATGTATTCTTTCCGCTGAATTCGAATCCGGAATCCGTTTTTCTCCTATCACGTATAATTTTTATGTAATTCCGCTTCGAATCACTGAAACTCGCTCTTTCAAACGGAGTTTAATATTTGTTTGCACGTGAAGCGTTAACGTGCTGGCTGATTAATGCTGGACATACAAACGGGATGCTCCAGAAGCTAAATATTTCAGAAAATCAACAAGTAGCACATTTTGTGTCTCGTAGATTTATGTATATGATTATAGTAATTATTTAATATTAAACTGTGCGTGTTACTCGAAAATCTTACGTGACAGAAAAGAACGTATTGCATATTTGAGTTCAGCATAAAAAATACTAACAAGATCACACCTTGTGTAACAAAAAATTAGTAAAATTTTGTAGACTAGCGTGTCATTGTCGTGGTCGAGAAACGATCGAAACCGTGCGCGTAACCGACGGAACACCATTAAGAGCAGGTTATTCGATACGAACGACATATTCTCTGGGGACAATGATTTTTTTTTTAGAGAAAAAGACCGAGATAATTTCCGGTTTGAGTAACGACCGGGACTGTGCAATATGCTCGGTTAAGGATTGTGCATTCTCGTCACCAGAACGGGACGCCTTAATTTACTCGATTAAGCGTGCTTGCATTGGTAGTCCTGCGCTTGTTTTCTACTATTCCTTTGCCCGTTCGCGGCCTCTGCTTGATCATTCCCTTGGACCATGTATACCTATAGACACGGCTTCGGATAATTTCCCTGACGCAAAGATGAACGAACCATCTACGTGACGTCGCATGTGGCCAAAACGTATAAGCTATGCTAGTATGACGTATATGTATAAGTACAGTTTCAAAAGGGCATAGCGAAATTTCAATGCGTAAATCAATCTTTAACACTCGATATTCATATGTTGTTAATTTTTTTTTCACGAAATAAGTAAATAGATGTATACATATATACTTTTTAAAGTATCCAAGATGACAAATATCCTGTCACGTTTTACCTTTTACAGTTTTAAATAGGATTCATTACAACATATTTTGAAAATTACGATTTTGCAATGTTTATATCTGAATTCGATATTGAGATATTGATAACATACTGTGTAAAAAGTGTTCGATCGATTGTTTCCTTAAAACTAATTTTCGCTAAAGTAAACGATAAACATACAAATATACGAACACTTGGGGAAAAATTATTTATTTACGTTGACGTTACACTCAAATCATACATTTGCACTCATTGGCTAGGAAATACTTATTGATTAGACACTCTGTCGGTCTGTCGTGTTAGGCATTTTAAAATGATCATGTTCCAACGTCTGACGTCACATGTGGCCTGTTATCCTTGCTTCACTGGATTGTTGGATTTCCTATACGCGTACGATACACAAGCCGTGTCTAGTAGTATATACGGTCTAAGATCATTCCCATTTACACTTCCAACCAGCCCTCGATCTGTCTTTCTCTATCTATCTTGGGGCTAAAACCTCTCATCGAGCCAACGCCCCACCTCCTAAGCCCACCAACGAACAGGCCCCTTCCAACAAATCCCCTCCGTTCTCCTCCCCTTGAAGCCCTCTCCCTGTTCTATACGGCATCTTTCTCCAACCCTCCTTCCCTCCCTCATTCTCTCTTTCACTCTCACTGTGCCCTCTGCCGCGTGGCCCATGCCCCATGCCCCATGCCCCCGCCCCGAAAACAAGAAGCATTTTAAGCCTTTGCATCCGCAGTAACGCGAGTTTTCGCTTTTGGTATGTTTCCAGAACAGCAGAATCCGGAGTTCGACCGCGGGAGGAACCAGGAGTGCGCCGAATAAATGACGTAAATCCGAGGAACGGAAACGCAACGTCACTCGCTAACTCGCAATCCCCCTTCCCCCCACCGAACCTCACCCCTTTTCTGTCTTTCTCTTTTACCGTCTCCGTGTCTCCTCCCGTTCCCCCTTCGTCCAATCCGCAACGACCCGGCCCGACCCCGAGAATTCACGACCCAAACGTAGAACCGGACCTTTCTACCCTTGCCTTTTTACCCGCTTTGTCGCCTACCGCCTTGCTTACTCTCTTTACCAGCCTCCTTCTTCGGCTCCTTCTTCAGGGGAACAACGGTCTATCCCTTCTTCTTCGTCGTCGTCGTCTACTTCCATCCCCCTGGCCCGTCGAAGGATAGCTAGGCTCAGCTTTCCAACATTCGAGAACTCCTTTCTAGATCCGTTCTCTACCTTCACGGAGTCTTTAGTCCTCTACTTCCTGGTCCAGTAGACACTACACACGAGAACACACGCTTCAGAACCGGCTTTAAGGACACCACGACCGGCTTTACGAAACACACACGTCCACGTGCATACGTGCATACAGTACCAACGCATACATACATAGACGCGCGCGCGCGCGCGCGCAGAGATATCCGTCTCTACGTAATAAAAACTCCGACGCGGGCAGCCAGCAACAGCCAGCTCTATATATCGATCAAAGAAAACAAATTTGCGCCTAGAGAGCACATACATTAGACACACGTACACAGAATACAGATACACGTATATACGTACACACGCTCCCCGTGGTCGACGTTTAGCTTTGAAAGGCTTTCAAGCTTTGCCCAAAAAACTACTACGCTCTGGTTGCTACTACGCGCCTTCTAAAGCTCCTACGACGTGCATTGCGAGAAGATATAACAGTGTGCTGCTGGATAAAGGAAGATCGAGAGATCGGTAAAGGGAATCAGGAAGGATCCACGATCTTCTTGGTCAACGGAAGCCGCAAGCATCGCCTCAATAAAACAATAAAGAGCAAAGCAAAGCAAAAAGAAAAAGCAGTATATCGAAGCAAGAGCCTAATCGCTGTCGATAGAACGCCTTTTTACCTCTTCGCTTACTTTCTCGGTGAAATTCTCCCAGTTCTCCGAGGAGAAGCACGTTCCTCTTCCGTCAATCGCAATCGCTGTAATCTTGCTCGAACGCCTGCGCTGCCACGGTGTGAACATCGTCATCCAAGTCCGAGACCGTAACGCTGGAAGTAGAAGGGAAGAAAAGAATCAGTGACCAAAAAAAATAAATAAATAAATAAAAATAAAAATACACGGAGGGCAGAAACGACACCGGCTACTCTTTCTCTTTCTCACTGTCTTCGCTGTCTAGCTAACCGCTAACTCGGCAAGCTAAGCTGCACTGTCTCTTTGTAGCGACTAACCGCTCCGGTCGATAACGCAAACTCTGCGTGCGATAAAGAGCGAGCAGCCGATAACAACGGTGATATCGCACGGTCTAAGAATAGTTTAGAATCGCGAGGCGAGAAGTCTCCGACAATCCCGAGCCTTTAAACACGGTGTTCGATAATATACGCGACAACGAATAGTAGGCAAGTTCAAGAAGAATACGACGGGTCTGATCCACGCGAGTTTATTCACTCCCTAGTTACCTTTGTTCACTTCGTCGTCGTCGTCGCCGTCGTCGTCGTCGTCGTCGTCGTCGTCGTTGTACGGTTACGCGAGTTTTACGGTTCGTCGTCGTCGTCGCCGCCACCGCCACCGCCTACACGGAAGATACAGTGATCTGGAAGACCAACGGCTTGACAAGAGACACGTTCATGGAACAATAAGATCGCACGCTACGCGAAGACAATCTTCCAAAGGTACCAACATTTATCATTGTATCAATCCTCCGGGCACTTGCGGGATTTCGGGCATACATAAGTTACCAGTTCGGTGTTCCCTTTCGCGGAGTTGCAACGCTCGCGTCGCGTTGTCGTCCTCAAAGACGGTTTTTGTTATTTCTCTTGAGAAATTCTAGTGCTTCGCGATGTTTTAGCATTTCACAGCTTCGTCCGTAGACTGCGGATCTTTGCGCGACATCAAACTAGTCTGAATAAATTGAGAGGATCGGAATCATAGTAAGTCACATTTTCGAAAATTGTGTCTTAAAATGTAATCTTGTAAAAAGATTACAAATCTTGTGTCAAAAATACACGTCAGATAAAGTTACTATGAATCAACTTAACTCTAAATTATCTTAACAATAAATTTGGCCTACGATTCTAACTCGCTCAATTGTAAAGAACAGTAATTCAATAAAAGTATATTCGTTCTCTTAAAAAAATAAAATAAATCGAGGAGAATGAAAGAATATTTGAAAATTCTTCTTATGTCTTCGTCGTTTAGTGTTCCGCGTAGTAATTTTTATCTTAATTGCACGAAAATCCGCAGTCTACTTATCAGTTACCTTCACACCTAAAATTAGTGTACCGCAGTCTTTTAATCGGGTATATCTTTTCACGCCGAGTAATTTTGAACCATTTGCTTCGAGGCAGTCTTTTTATTTACGCGTTGACATCAATCGATTTAAGAACAGAAGATGACAATGCTTAATGTGTAGATTGCTAATAACTCTTCCAGTTTCTGTTCGGTTTATGTATTTTTGAAGAATATTTAAGAAACGCCTTTTGATGTGCTCGAAATTGAACGAACTTCACTCGATTCTGTATTTTCTTCAATCGCAACTTTTTTCACTTTCTTTATTCTTGTTTGATGTGTTGAGAAAGTGTGTTCGCAGTCCAAACTGTAATTTCTTTAGATTCGTAAAGACTAAGATAATAGAATTGAATGTTTATTTCCGTTATATCTCTGTCATTTGTTCAACTTTATGAATGAAAAATCTCAAATTTTAAATGATCCGCAAACTGATTTATGCACAATGATTTCAAGTCATTATCCGTTGATTTCATTGTTTGATGTTTCAAGTATAAAATAAATAAAATGTGCTATACAAACGTTACTCAATAGGCATCGATATTTTGACAGAGATGCTAATTTATTTCGTACAAGAAATAGATAATTGTTAAAACTTTCATCTGTAATATATTATTACGAAAAAGAGATCGGAGTGATTTTGCAAGCAACGTGCACGTAAAAGTTTCAAATCATTTGATCAATTACCATACGAGATATCGCGTAAACCGTGAATGAATTCAGAGCTTGTGTTCCAAATTCACGAACGAAATAATGCGTGGAATAAACATAAATTCGATAGAGCACATCAAATCAAATTACTTATCCTAACAAAAGGAGTGTTTTCGATTCTGCAACGAATCGAGTTAATTTACAAGTTCCGTACAGTAGATTCCCGTGTAACACGAGTTCCTGCAACATAAATTCTTGTACAGTAAAATTAAAATACATGAAAACGAACAGATAATTACAATAAATTCTCCCTAATTGACGTTCAGATTGTGCACAAAAATATGGACAATTCGGGAAGAGGAGATACGATTATTCGAGTCTTGCGACTCGTTTTTATAGTTGTTAATCGATCCTTCTCGTTTTTATAAAAACGAACGGTAAGGCTCGAATAATCGTATCTCTTTTTTCCAAATTATATACAATCTGAGCGTCAATTAGGGAGAATTTACTAGTACACTGGAACGGAGAACGTTAGAACGTAATTTTGATCGATTCGGACAGTGATTAACGATTCGCGCTACAGAAGTGTTTTTCCGTTTTCTGCTAGATTATTTCTGCTAGATTATTTCTGCCGTTGAATTTACGTCAAGAGTAGAATTATCGTGTAACACGAATTCGTAGAACGCATAAGTAGAGATATGCGAGTACTGAGATTGCACGAACCGAGAGATGCTTGGTTCGATTATTATAGCCGTGTCGAGTGTTCGAATTTTTCAAGTTATTCGGAATCTACGAACTGTTCGAAAAAACTGCAAATTACTTGAACAATCCGAATGGCACGGATACTCGAGCATTTCTAAGATTTCGAAGTACTTGAACATGAAATTTTAGCTCGAAAATTTTCGAGTTCCTCGAGTACTTTCGAACAGATCCCGAATTTTCAAGTTACTCGAAAATATTCGAGTTGCTCGAAGTATTTAAATATTTACATTTGTATTGTATGTCGGGCTATCAAGTACTATGTAACATCATGCTTTATTAACTCTTTGATTGCCACGTCGACAACCTCAAAGAGCAAAATTCAAGTATTTCATTTAATCAAATTTTTTTTTTAAATCGAGAAGTTAAGATGTACGATATCGATTACTTTTTCAACATCCTTATAATAGAGACTTACCTCAAAAATTAATTTTCAAATCTGAGCAAATTATCTTGTCACTCACATACGGATCTCGTGACATTTAACGCGTTAAATAAAGTCCGAGTATTCGAGTCATTCGGATCTTTTTTCAAGTAACTCGTAATTTTCGTACGGATGACTTCGAGAAGAGATTTTTGAGCAATTTAAAATATTCTAACGCCACTGAGTTTAAAAGATCGATCAATATTCAACACGATATCCGAGTACTCGCGCACCTCTACAGTTAACGCGTTATCACGTTATACGGGAGCAGAGTTGGGCAAAATTTTATTTGGATGACGGATAAGAGATTAAGATAACGAATGCAATTTTGTTCGACACTATCGAATAAAAATATCCAATCGAATACAAATTTATCCGAATAAGATTTCATTCGAATAAGAATTTATTCGTGCAGGCATTCACACGGCAGTTAATCGATTTAAATAAAATCGATAGAATATAAAGTGTTATATTTCTTTTTTCAATTAACTCTTTTGCAAATGTTGCATCGGAAAGTTTGTTACTTTTGAGTAGATTGATTACTGATGCGTAACTAGATGCATCGGCCGTTTTATAACTCTATAAATAGTTGAAATTGAACTGAACCTGAATTGTATTCGCATAAATATATTCTTACAAAATTGCATAAAAACAAAAACAATCAACAATTATTCGCATTATTATTCCTATCATTTTACAATCTTTATGCGGACAACTTATTCGAATAAATAGATAGAATAATTGATGACGGCTAATGAATGTTCGTTATTCAACGAAAATATTCGACTAAAAACAATTCATAATTATCTTAGACAAGTATTTATTCGAAACAGTTCGACTAATGCCCAACTCTGCACGGGTTTTCTCTCTACGAACACGTAGATTGAAAAAGAAAAAACTGTTAGAATTTGAATTCTGCGAAAGTCCCGCAAGTGCCGGCAAATCGAGGGCCCGGTCAGAATAAACGAAAACACATTATATATCCTTGGCAAGATCAGCTGGTGCGAGCGAACGTGAACGAACAGGCCAACGCTACGCCGAGAACAGGCCAGCGAAGGAAGAGGATAAATTGAAGTCGCTCGAAAGCGTGTGCCCCGGCTAAGGAGGAGTCTCGTGGTCTTCCAGGACTGGAAGGAAGTATGGCAATGGTCAACATGAATAACCTACTGAACGGCAAGGACTCCCGGTGGCTGCAGCTAGAGGTTTGCAGAGAGTTCCAGCGCAACAAGTGCACCAGGCCCGACACGGAGTGCAAGTTCGCTCATCCGCCAGCTAACGTCGAGGTGCAGAACGGACGGGTCACTGCTTGCTACGACAGTATCAAGGTAATTAGCCATTGTATAATCGAGTCTATAGACGTGGATATAATGCGACCACCATTGAATATGTCCGTTACACTTCATCGATAAAGATGAGGTTGCAACAACGGGTCTTTATCATTTCGGTCTTGCAGCTGCATCGAAGTCCGAATCATTTCTCGACCTTGATATCAAGATGCACTGGTAGATTCTCAGTTCTTTTTACTGTAAGCTCTCTGGTTATGGTAGCGTAATGATTTCACCGCGGATCTTTATGCAGAGTGCAAAAATGTCTGCGCTTGTTTCGAGACAGTTGGATACTTCTTGCTTCGATCAGTTTTGCGGGTCGAAATCAATGTATGGATATACTTGAAATTTCCTTGAATTTTCCTACTGCTGCAAATTGCTAATTTTTGTCACAAATGCGTAATATCCGTGGTCTAATAATAATATCTGATTTTTTAATGGATTTGGTGTTACATACACACCACGTTTGCGGTGTATCATTAGAACCTCGAGACGTACGGGTTCGACATTCGTTTAAGAGGGATTACATAAACAGCGATAGCTGCAGACCCTGAAATCGGAAACGCTGTTCATTCTTGATACTCGATGCCTGCCGAATACAAATAGATGGCACGTGCATAACGAGGAAACACTGCATGATGCTTCTAACGATAGAATTTCAATTTTATTACACCGTACTAGTATTATCACGCCGAGAGTATTTGATCATTAATTCGTCGCATTAACTTGTCGTTCTCCGGACCTAAGCTATTTTGGAATTATTTAACCTGCCGATTACTAATTTGAGCAATCGACTAGTAGGTATTCAAAAATTGGTTAGTCTATTCTGTGTTATGCTTGATGTTTGAAAAAAATGTGTAGGTGACAAATTGCATGATTTCGAGGGACGAATGTAAAAGGTAGGACAATATTTTTTTTCAAGGTCATTTTTAATTCAGTTTCCAAGTTCATTGTCTGGTTTTTAAACGTGATTTATAGTATTCAAGGTCTGCATGAACAAATTCATTTTTTCCTGAGCTACAATATTGTATTAACGAGAAAATATACTGTCGCATTTAAAAAATTGAAAGTGACCTTGAAAGCTCGACTTAAAATGATCTTGCCTTTATATTCATGCAATGTAATTATGCAATTCTTTACGTGCACAGTTTAATCTAAAATCAAGCGTAACAGAGATAAAACTCAAGATAAAATGAACATCTTATGTAATAAATGTTACATATTGATAAATTCATGTGATAAATTCACTTTGAAAGTTTTGTTAAATTTTACTTCCTACCTTAACAATAATTCTCTAACCACGGTTGGATTTTTGTTATGCAGATGCGTCCTAAGAGTTCGATTAAAAAAAGATATAAAAAGGGAAACAAAAACGAAAAGGAAATAAAAATTTGCATTAATATTGTGTTACATTTTCAGGAAATATGATTATTGTAAGTAACAAAACGCACCTAAATTCAAATAATATTTCGCACGGTAAATTTTACAAAATATTCAGAACGCCGGGTTCCACGTTGATCGCGGTTGAAGGGTTAACACCAGGAGCTTATTAACTAATTAGCTGTTGCGATATCTTTGTGATTGTCTCCATATTTTCTTAACTGCTATACTCGTCGAAAATAGTTAACTGGTTAACACGTTCCGTGCCACGTGTACCATCGATGGTACACGCTTGCATGTTTACTTAGTGAACTGAACAAATTGTTTACAAGAAATTTAGAACCGAAGAATCAATTTCCACCGCAAGAATGGGCGTTGATAAGTTTTTATTACGTTGTTATGTGTACGAGAATTAATAATTGCACGTAATACATCAAGTTTTAGTAAAATATCAAAGTGTGAAGATGCGAGTAAAAAAAGCTTGGCAAGGAACGTGTTAATAGGCTTTTTAATATTTAGTTAAGCACGATCATTTTGTTCTATACAACAACATCGGGAAAAGTTGTTACACTATAATAATCCAAATAAGTTGAATTATTGATGAGAATCGCTCGATGTCGCTTTCAAATATTTCAACGAATCCTCAACTATCGATTTTCGCCTCTAAAAGGACTATTAGAAAACTAGTTTGTCAGATAAAGTGTTACGGAGGCGTCCGAACTCGCGTAGTTTCGTAGTTCGCAAGATATTTGGTACCGATGAAGTTTCCAAACGCGCACATCGGGACATTTATTAAAACTTCCAGAGTTTGTTCGATCTCGAGTAACAAATAAGGGACATCGGTCCGTCTTTAATAAAACTGTCACCGTATAAATTTGCCCGAGTGACGAAGAGCAAACAGACGCGAGTACACGTGGGATGGGGGTGCGATTAAACGGAAGGAACGAAAAAAGACACGAGCTGGGCGCGGCTCGATCGAATGTCCCTCCTTCGAAGATATTGAATTCGTGGATCGAGTTTGTAGTTATTAATAGCGACAATTACTCAACGGGGGGGAATATGAAAAACGGGAGCTCGAGTTTGACGAATTAGAACTGAAAGTGGGATCGTTAAGCAAAAATTGAAAAAACTTTCGTTAATAATCGGACCGTTCGTAGATAGGTACTTTATTGTCCGATGACGTGAAGCGATTAGATAAAGCGGAGGAAGACGTTACGAGCGGGGCGCGGCTGTTTCATTTAATGCGAAGTCAATATTTCCTCCGACAAGTATCTCGGTCTTCGTAATTTCTGATAGGCTCACCTTGAACCGAATCGTACATCAGATTCCGGGAAACTATTCACATTTATAATGCTGCCTAAGTGTTTTCCTTAATTTTTGCAGATATTTTTTCAAGCACTTCCATTATAATCTGACAAGAAATATTTGCGACAAAAGTTTATCGGTACCTTGTCGGCTACACGATAAAATATTGCATTTCACAAAATTCGAATTTTTCAAGATTATATAAAAAATTCCTCTGATTACACCTTTTAATTTTACTCAACATCGAAAGAGCGTTAATTATTCGAGTATTCGTTTAATTCCTAGAAAAATTCTCTAGGCGGGCGCGATTTAATTCGGCCATTCAGAAGTCCTGATCCGACTTTGACCGAGAGTTCTCAACCGATTAAGCTGTTAATCTAAATTTAAGTACACTGTAAATGCAGAAAGTTTGTAATTCACTTATCTCCGTCCCCTTTTGCGCCCATCGACGCGACAGCTGCGAGCTGTCAACCAATCGGACTGCAACAAAATCGTGGAGACTGTTTATGTGCAGGGTGTCCGATTTTAATCTATAAATAAAAATACCTCGTCGATCACACACTGTGTAAAAAATGTTTACTGCAAAAATTACATGGTTTCAAGAGGGATGACATGATTGATTTTTTTGCGAGTGGACGCGCGCAAGGCAAACAAAGGACAACTTCGTTTTTTTTCCAAACGGAATCGTACAATTTTGAACATACTAATATCGATTCAGTTCGCCATTCCGGAAAAACATATTGGACGGATCAAAAAATTATGAGTTCACGAGATATTTGAGTGCAAACATTACAAGGCCGTATCAACATCTTGCGAATTGTCGAAGCTTTTGAAGCGTTAAGTAGCAATGGAACAAAGTCAAGTGCAATGTTTCTTATCAATACATTGAACAATAACGTAATGCAATTTAACTTTCTCAACGAACTTAAATAAACGCTCGGAAGGAACACTCGAGTGTTCAAATGTTCGCTCGAAAATATTCCTCGAAGTCGGTGTCATCTTAAAACAGTCAATATTGGTACGACCACCACTTTGCAATATTTGCGCTCAAATATCTCGAAAACGAAGAACTTTTTATCATGCGTGGGCCAATATTTTTTCGTTCAGAATGATGAACTGAATCGATAAGCGTATTAAAAAATTTCTCCGTTTGGAGAAACATTTATGTCATTTTGTACCCCCCCCCCCCCCCCCCCCCCCCCC